GTAAGGCACTTGTTTCTACTAGCTTCTTGTTACTAGTAGTAAGGCACGGGCCTATGAGACTACTAATAGACACGTTCTTTTTTTGTGCAGAATCTTCAGGATTTCTGGGCTGCAACAAGTCTGTTGGTTGGTTGTCTCAAATTCAACATGTTGCAGAATTCTGCTGAGGATCGGGACACATTATTCTCAAAACGGTCTAGCAACCTTTTCCTACACCTCTCCTGTAGCCTCGGTTGCTCAAGACAACAGCGAGGTGATCTCTCCTAATGAGCTCGATAGGTGTTCAACCATGTCAAGCAGCAATTGGATTCTAATGGGCTACTCTGGCGTTGCTGTTCGGAAATGCTTGGGGGAACGAAAGGCATCATGACTAAATATAGTTCACATAAAGGTAGTTGAACTGCACCCAAACCCTCAGATCAACACGTGATCTCTCCATATCTCTTCCCTCCGCTCTCACGGATCTATCTCGGGCAAGTCATCAGCCGTTTCGATGGCCATGGCGCGATTGCTGCTGTTGCTCGACGGAGTGGCGATGATCATAGGATGGTCGGATCAGTGAAGGGAGATTTCCGACGTGACGACGCTTGAGGCCCAAACTCTCAGATTGAAATGCCATAAATTCCAAAGAAATGACACCTAAAAAAGATTCCAAAGAAATTCCAATGCCAGAAACTCCCAGATGAACCCCTTGGGGACAACGAAATTCCAAAGATATCGTAATGGATTGAATCGAAGGCTGTTCCAAGGCGTGAAGACCACTCGTGCCGAGGCTGGGATGGCTGGTGCACGTGGGCCGAGCCACTGAGTACTTGAGCTGCCAAGCTTTGCGGGTCTCTCGGTGGCACTGCGGTTGTGAGGGATAGCTCCTCGCAATTCTTCCCAAGTGCCGGGTGATAAAGATTTAGATGTGTTAAGGGGGGAAGAAGGTTGTTTTGCTCCAGGTTGCCAAGGCCTTCAGAAAAAAATACTTTACTTCGAGTGATCCCCACCATGACATTTCAATCATTTGACTTGATGCCATAGTGAGGAGCATGTTGCCATGGTCGTGAGTATTGTAGTTCTCGATTTTGCTTGTGGGTCCTCGGGTTGTGTGCTGCGGTTGTGTGTTGTGGTTGTGGTTGTGTGCTGTGTTGTGGTTGTGGTTGTGTTTGTGGCTGTGTGTTTGTGATTGTGTGTTTGTGGATGTGTTTGCGGTTGTGCTTGTGGCTGTACGTTTGTGGTTGTGTCTTTGTGGTCGTGTTGTTGTGGTTGCGTGTTTGTGGTTGTGTGTTTGCGGTTGTGTTTGTGGTTGTGTGTTTGTGGTTGTGTGTTTGTGGATGTGTGTTTGTGGATGTGTTTGTGGTTGTGTGTTTGTGGTTGTGTTTGTGGTTGTGTGTTTATTGTTGTGTCTTTGTGGTTGTGTGTTTGTTGTTATGTTTGTGGTTGTGTGTGTGTGTCCACCCCTGGGCAAAGGGTTTCCTTCCACCGTTTCACCCACCTTTTACCCACAGATTCAACCGCAGGGGGATGGAGAGGACACGTGAGGCTCCATCCAACGAAGCTCCTCACGTGCTCCTAGGATATCATCAGGGACGCCTGATGACGTACCTGCGCCGTGACACTACTCCACTCTTCCTTGCTGTGTTTTGATGCCATGGTTGTTGATCACGATACTCTCCCCTCAAACAGGTTTCCCACCGCAGACTTGCAACCACACTGACTGTCAGAGTGCAAACATTGTTCAAC